GTCTGGTATAATAATTGTCTTTGTTTGGAATTGTGCAGTTTCACACAACAGTGTCATAAAGATGTGGTGAAAGCCAAATTAGCCAGCAGGTGTCACTGTTGAGAAGGTGTCAGATTTTTGAGAAACTTTGATGCAATTCCAACAGAAATGCTTCAAATGTTTTAGTGTTTCATGAAGCCTGGCTTTGCCCATCAAATGTCCCAGGATGCTGTGATTTTGTAAAACCAACAGAGAGGCTGAGTCTATGCCTTGAAGTAGGTGTGTATTATTTATTTTTTAATTCATCGCATACTGCTGTCGAAGTCAAAAGACAAGAAGTGAAGACAAGTGAAGTAAACAGACAGTAATTGGAGGACCGTTGAAACCTTTATTGTCAGGTTTTCAGCTGAGTGTATAAGTGTTGGTCGTCGTCGGTGTGTGTAAGTTCTAGTCGTGCTTGTCTTGTTTGCTATCTGCCTGCGCCTCATCACTACGGTGTTTGTCTATAATAAACAAGCACATAAAGATCTATGTTAAAATACCACAAACTCGTCTAAGTTGGATAATATTCATGTTAGCAAGCACAAATGATACTCACCTGCTGCTTCCTGGTTCTGATGTTGTGAGTGGGAAAAATGGTGCCCCGGGGCCCACAAACAGTTCATTGGTTTCTTAGAGGAGGAGGTTCGAGGTTTCATTTATTTATTTATTATACGATTACTGTTAGTTACTGTTTTTAATGTGGGGACGTTGGAAATGTTTGAAAACAGTGAAAGTATTTCATAGATATTTGTTATGTAGTATTTTGTTTAGTCCTGAGTGTAACCTGCAGAATGCTTTAATCCAATTAACGAATCCCAGAGACTATCAGTGGTCTCATATTCGGATCTGTACACTACAGAGACAAGAACACGGGAATCCACTTATTCCTCATCAGTCTCATTCCAAATGTCGCCATCGACTTTTTTCTTTCATGATTTGTCACAGCAATGATGTCGTTCTTGTCAGTGGCGTAAACAGACACTTATTCTTGTCACAGCAAACCTGGTGAGCCCAGAGTGCAGTTTGATGCCATGTGAGCCATTTTTATATTTCAGCAGAAGCAGCTTTAGCACCTGTGACCTTCTCATCAGACTCATCAGATGTGTCTGTGTCCTCTGGTTGATGCTCTTTATCATCCTTATCAGAAACTGGCTCATCCATATTGCAATGCTGTTTTTTGCAAGAACTTTCAGTTTGAAAATATGAACCTTTTCTGTCTTTAAGGGTCTTGGTTTTAATTCAAGCTGTTTAACACACTGCAGTTATGTTTTTAATATCGTTTCTCTTACCACTACTCTCTTTATACCAACAGAAAACCACAGACTCGACAAAGAGGGCGGTCTGTACTTGGTGTCAGAGACAGAAATGAGAAAAAGCTGAAATGAGTGAGAAGGACGATGAAGGAAACATCTGTGCTGTGTCTGCTCTGTAAGTAGAATCTCCTGCACTACAGAGCAGGTTTATTATACCCAGGGTATGTTTCTGTTATTCAGATTA